CATGCTTAGCCCTGGGCCGTCCGTATGGTAGGTGCTTGGTGAGGCAGTACTAGCCTCCAGGCCCCCTCAAAGCCTGATCCTCGAGCCCAGTGGATGCCTCATCGCTCTTCCGGTTTACCAGTGTGTTTCCCTAACCTGAATTTCCATGGCAGTTGGTGGCTCCACAGAAACAGCAGATAAGTGGGTCATTCTTTAGAGAGAAGTTGAGTCCAAAATCCTAGAAAGTGGGATATGCCAGGTGTGTCCATGGCTTGTCTGCACAGCGGGCCGTCCTCCAAGACTGTCGTCCACATGGTGCTTGAGATCTGTTGAGGTTAGGGAGAGAGCGCAGTGTGACGAGTAACAGAGTGCGTCCCCGTGCAAGGTGGTTGCTCTAGTCCATGACCAGTGGGCAGGGGCCTCGAAGAGATTTTGTGAGTAAATTTTCTACTTGCTGAACACTTTCCCCTTAAGCTTTGAAAAAGGCCTTAAATTTTTGACTGTTTGATAGAGTACTTTTCACACCACCTTTGACCCATTACATTAACTGGAACAGTGAGCTTCCTTACTGATTCAGTCATCATTATAAAAATAAATGCTCACAGTGAATATCCCTTGGTCTGTGAAGGAGTAGAGAGTGTTTGCCACTTCACCAAATGACCCCGTTCTACTTGATTCTGTCTGGTAGTCATAATCCACTAAGTTAATTTGAATTTCTGTAGATGGGGAGACCAGACAACTGAGTTTACTCAAAATATGTCTAAATCCATGAATAGAAAATAGGGGTTTTGGGTAGTGACTTTGTGACATCTCTTCTGACTATTCAGATGCTTTCACTCTCAGGAAGTTGCTTCCAGGTGACTGGGGTACACTGGGGTATATACATTGTCCAGTACTACACTGGTGACTGCAGTTGAATAAGTCCCCATAACAGTAAGGGGGGATATTTGTGGGGGGTGCTTTACAATATACTTTCTAGCAGTGATTGTTTCTAAAGAGGAGGAAATGTAGGGATCTCGTTCTGAGGAATTGGCTTCATTTACAGATTATTTGCTATGACTGCTGTGAGTTTTATCACCCTGTAGCTCAGCGACTTTGTTGCCTTCTCTGTAAAGTGGAGGGCACAGGGGTATCTGGCCCACTGTCTCTGAGCCCCTTTCTGGATTATGTAAGTACCCAGTCTGAATTCCCTATTGTCTCCATCAACACACTGCCTAGAATTTACACTGATGGCAAATCTTGATATTCTCCCAAGCAACTTTTATAATAGACGTCATTAGTTTTATTCAGCTTCAGCTTATTATAATTTGCATTTTAAATGTTTGGTGTTTAAAAGATGGTTAAGATTACCATAACTTTACCAAGAGATTTACAAGTGCCAAAGCCTGCCAGTCAACTCAGATGTCCATAACTGCAACCGCTTCCCAGCCTAAAGGCTGAGTCACTTTGAAGCTCCCACCATTTGAGGGCCAAGTGATTCACCAAGCCAATTTACTTTGCAGTTTGGGATAAGGAAGTAGGATGTTAGATTTCCTTTTTGTCCTCTTCCCCTTCTGGCAATTTAGATACGGTTTCTCTAATAACAACTTGTTTTTATCTCTTGTTTTCTTTCCAAAATAATATGTACTTGTAAGAAGTTCAAACCATACATACTTACATAATACAGAGAGCAGAAAGTTCCCCAATTCCCCTCCCTAGAGAGAGCCACTATTAGCAGTTCAGTGAACATGCCTCCAGATACTGTTTTCTATTCTATATATTAACTTTTCTTTTTTTAACAAAAAGAGATTGTGTTTACATATACTGTTTTGCAGCTTGCTCTTGTCTCCTAGCAATATGTCTTGGAGGTTTTTCCATTTCATATATATAGGTCTCTCTAATTTTTAGCAGCGACATTGGTTTTTGTGGCATTATTACGTCAGAAATTATTGAATTAGTCCCCTCCAGTCTTAGTCTGGGTGCTTCCCAAAGCTGACCCAAGACAGTGACTTGGATGCAAGTTGGTTACAAGGGAGGTGATCCCAGGAAGCACTGATAAGACGGCGAGCAATTGAAACAGGAAAGGGGGGCAAGCCAATCAGGGATGTTTGATGAGTGGGTAACTGCAGCTTCGGCGGTCCCTAAGACCATCAATCAGGTTTAGTGATTTGCTGGAAGGACTCAACAGACCCAGAAAGGCTGTTACACTCATGGCTACAGTTTATTATGGAAAAAGGATGCAGACTAAAATCAGCAAAGGGAAGAGGCACGTGGGGTCGAGTCCAAGAGAGTCAAGCATAAGCTTCCAGCTGTCCTCCCCCACTGGAGTTGAACGGACAGCACCTAATTTTCCCAGTGACAATGTGTGGCCACATACTCGAAGCACTGCCAGCCAAGGAAGCCCCCTTAAGCCTTGGTGCCTGGGACATTGACTGAGAACCAGTCACATAGGCACGGCTGGCTGGCTGTGTGGCTGATGCTAGTCTCCAGCCCCTTCGGAGGTCACACTGCTGTTGAGTGACCCAAGAGCCCACCACCCATCCCACAGCATAGCCTAGTGTGGCCTCGGCAGAGACATGTGGGTGCTCAAGGTAGGACACTATCTGCAGAAGCTGTGGGTTGCCTCCAGGTGTACTTACTTCATGGACATTTTTTCACTTCCATTTTTTTGTTCTTACAAGCACTGTTCTAAAGCAGGAGTCAGCAAACTTTTCCATAAAGGGCCAGATAGTAAACATTTTCAACTTTGTGGGCCACACAGTCTCTTGCAACTACTCAGCTCTGTTGCCACAGTGCAAAAGCAGCCACAGACATTATGTAAACAAGTATGTTTGACTGGGTTCCAATAAAACTTGATGTATAAGAAAACAGGTGGCAGGCCAGAATGTGGCTTGGAAGATCTAGTTTGCTGACCCATGCTGTAGAAAATATCTTCATAGGTATATCTTTGGCTATTTGTGCCGGTAATTCTATGGGGTAAATTCGTAGAAGTAGAATTGCTGAATCATGAGTTATGACATTTATATTTTAAACAGATGCTGTGAACCTCTCCCAAAAGTTGAAACAAGTTCCTCTTTCACCAAGAGTACTTGGGAATATTTGAGATTTCCTTTCTTAAAACTCCTTTCCCAAGGAAGTATATTCATATATTCATATACTGGGATGTTTCTACATTTTCATTCTTGAGCTTTGGAAAGGCAGAGGAAGATAGAACATTTTGCTCCCAAGCAAGAAAACCAAATGGGGCCTGAAATGGCCTCAGGATAGTATCTTCTTTAGATGTGAGGCCCACAGAGAAGGGGACTCTAGTAATTTGTTCTCATCTGGTGAGATCAAACCTTATATTGCCCACTAGGTGTGATTCAAAAGAGTCCTGAGTGTTACCTAGTCAAGGAAAACTTCAAAGCATCAGAGAGCCCCTTGACAATTTCCTTCATTAAGCAAAGATTCTATTCCTAATTTTTCCCTTCTGTAAGGGATTTTCAGAACAGGTAAATGAGGTCCACATATGCATACTGAGTACTTTACCAATTATGCAAGAAATATACATGGGTCAGTGTTTGCCCATGGAGCTGACAGGTACTGGACGCTTAACTGAGACAGCACAGCATTTCACATAGACTAGTTCACCCTGGGTCTTTTTGGTTTCTAGACAATACGTAGGGTTTTTGTTTATCCACTTTTCTTTTTTTTACCCCACTTTTATCATTTGGAATTCTTGATGTGAACCCCACGGGGGAGAACAGAGGCTTATTAGCATTCAAGCTCTATTTTGGGCTGCATATTTTAGCTGGTTTATGTGATAATCAGTATCCCTCCTGGGATCTAGCCTGCCTTTGCTGGGCTCACGCTGGGGGAATCTGTGATATTTCCCATTCTGTAGTCCTTCGTTTATAATACAGACACAGCCTGCTTTCCCGTTAGCGAGATGGCATGCCTGGACTACCCACATGCAGATAAAGAATTAGGCGGAACTTGGCTGGGAAGATAATTCTAGCTAACCATCTCATTAGGCTTGAAAGACGCAAATTAAGCTCACATTGGAATTAACGGAGAAGCCTTCCAAAGACACATGCAGTAGAATAAGGGAGGCAAGAAATCACCAGAGCCGTTTTTCTCAGGAAACTTGGAATTTCCTGAGAACCTCCATTTCCTGGAACAGAGGAAACATGAGGTCTGTTTCATAAAAGATCAACAGACAGAAATTTGGGATTGAAACAGCAGTATAGCATTCATAGAGCAGTCATCAAGTGCAAGGCACTATGTGCTGAGAGCCTTAGACACATCATCTCATTGAAACCTCATGATGACTTACAAGGTAAAATACTACTAAGACTCCTCCTTAACCAAGTTGGAAACTGAGTCACAGGGAGGTTGCTTCATCATCTCAGGGTCCCAGAGTTGTCAAAACGCAGAGCCAGGACTCACCTTGGATATTTGGCCCCATGGCCCACACGTTAACGTAGACTCTTATCCAGGTTGAACAGGCCTCCCCAGGGAATACTGGGCCATGTCTAAGACATTTTGGGTTGTGACAACTGGTATCTAGTGGATAGAGGCCTGAGATGCTGCCAATATCCTGCAAAGCCCAGGACAGCCCCCAAATGTCAACAGTGCTGAGACTGAGAAACTGGTATGTAACCACTCGACTGGACTCCTGTGGTGGCTGACAGTTCCAGTAGACCTACCCAGTTGTCATGTTCTCTAGGCAGTGTGGTGTGGCGACGTGACATAAGTATATGCAGGGTTGCAGCTGTCTGGCAGAAGGAACAGCCAGTGCAAAGGCTGGGAGGCGGGCACGTGCCTGGCATGGTGAGGGAAGCAGGAAGCCTAGTGCAACTGGAGCGGAGAACCCTGGGGAGGAGGAGATGAGGGGATTCTCACCATTTACAAGTAACAGACAACATCCTAAAAACGAGGCCCTTTGTCTGTGGTTGAGGAATATGTAGACTGATGGCCTCTGTCTTGTTCCCGCCTTCCTGTTCTGTCCCCCGCTTCCTCCTGCCTCCTCCCCACCTACCCTGGTCCCTCTGATTCCCTAGTGTTTGGCCACAACATGAAGAGCAGCAATGACTTCATTGGAAGGATCGTCATCGGCCAGTACTCCTCGGGGCCCTCCGAATCCAACCACTGGCGGCGGGTGCTCGACGCTCACCGCACGGCCGTGGAGCAGTGGCACAGCCTGAGGTCGCGGGCTGAATGTGACCGCGTGTCTCCTGCCTCGCTGGAGGTCACCTGAGGGTCGCAGGGAAGGCGGCTTTCATTTGTTTGAGGAAAAAGAAAAAGGAAGAAAATTAAAGACAGAAAAAATGTGTCATGTACCTATTATGTCTATACCTGCATACACAATCCCCTGTCCCCCTACCCCAAAATCCTCTCAAAATGGAGAGCAAGCTGTGTATTGATCACAAAATGACTGCCCTCAGTGAGCAAGGCCTGAGGACTTTCCCAAAGCCCCATCCATACGTCCTGCGCTGAGTGGGCTCCGCTGTGAGACGTAGAGGCAGTGCTTGGTCTCATTTACACCCCTGCCCCAAAATGCACCTTTCAACCCTCAGGCCAGAGAAAGGGCCTTCTGGGGTTGCCAACCTCCACTGAGATGAAATTTTCCAAGAGTCTGGGGAAGACTCTTGTGTGTGGAGGCCCAATGCTCAGCTCAAAACACTTACCCACAGGGTGACTTCTGAATGGGCCACTGTTCCCTGAGGTTCTTCAAACGTGATACCTTTCCCCAAAAGTGTAAGTACTTTGTCTACTCATTAGTGGATGTGATAAATAGGTAAGACTATTTGGAGAAACCCAATGGCAACAAAGAGTCCAGTGTAAGAAATGTCCACTGGCCTCACTGACTTTGCCTGTGTTTGCTCATTCCCGGGGACCCTGTAGGTGTGGATGCCGATGTTCTCATGCGTGTACCCTTACGGGTGAACGTGTGTGTGCCTCTGTCCAGGCAAGCAAGGCGGCATGCCAGGACCTCGATCCTGAGCACTCCCTCCTCTCTGCCTTTCCCATCTAAGTATTTCCACCCAGCGTCCTCCTGTCTGTCAAGACCCCACCTTCAGTAACAGTAGCATGATGTCAAGTAAATAGAATACCATACAGCAACGTGACAGTTTTTGACCAAATCATGGTGATTGTGACTCACGGAAGACCCACAAAAGACATTTATGTGGATTAAAGTGGCCACCACACCTGGCGCCCCTGTTCAAGACAATCCCTTCCTTGTCATACTCTGAGATCTTTCTGTGTGTGTGTGTTGAACCAAAGTCGTTTTCCTTGTGCTAAGGAATTAGTGCAGTTAGAATAGATTTTTCTCTGTCAGATGCTTCTGTATCTTTTCCCACAGCATATTGTCTGACATCATGGGGAGCTATTATTTAAATTAAAGATTATTTGTGCCATGCATTTGAGTTATCCTTTCTTCATGAACGCAGGGCATAGAGGATGTGAGGGTGTTTTGGTCACTACTACTGTGTAACAAACCATCCCGGCCACTCAAAGCACTGATGCGGTGTGGAGGCCTTGGGGGAAGCAGGACGGCTCGGTTAGGTTGGGTTTCTCAGGAGAGGAAAGAAGGCATATGCTTTCTCTATAAAATGGCTTCCTTGCCATGGTTGTACAGAGGAGGATAAAAACACGAGGGATAAACAGAATGAGGGAAGACTCATACCTAATAGGCATTCAGGACTAGAGATGAGGTAATACAGTGATTGGGGCCAAAGAAGCCATAAGTTCAAACCCCAGGCCCACTGGTCCCTTATTGTGTATGTTTGCACAAGCCGCATAACTTCTCTACACCTTGGTCTGCTCATTAGTTGGAATGCCTGAAAAGCAGACCTTGAGGCAAAGACTTGGGTGCAGGTAGGTTTGGGAGGTGACCCTAGGAAGTATAAATGAAAGATATTAATAAGGAGGAAAGCAGAGAAAGACTGCATATACTAGCATTGTGGGCAATGGGCTCAGTCATGCTGGGGACTGCAGAATACACTTAAGAATTGTCATTCTGTGGAGGCTGGAGTATTTAACAACTGACCCTTATCCTTTAAGAGACATTAAGTGTTTGGCACTTTAGAACTGTCCTTTGTGGGCTGAGCAAGCTTTGGTAGCACCAAGAAATCCTCTGGGCAGAGAATAAGGTGTTAGACCAGGTAAGCTGGCTACGTGCATGGCTGGCCCACTGTAGTTGTAGGGGAGCCCAGGTGCACTGAGGCTATGAGCTGGGGCATCCCCAGTGCCTGATACCCTCAGTAATGAGAGAGCTGGCTGAGCCCCCATGCAGTGCCAAGCATCTCATTTAGTCCTCACACAGAAACCCCCCTGGGGGTGTTATTTCTCCTTTACAAAGAACACCAGGGTTTAACGAGACTAAGCGGCCAGTAAGCAATAGAAGTAGAATACCAGCCCAGGCCTGATGCTAGAGGCTGTTGTGGGCTGAATTGTGTCCCTCTCAGAAAAGATGGTCCTAACTCGCAGGACCTCAGAACATGCCCTATTTGGAGGTAGGGTCTTTACAGAGGCAATCTAGTCGAAGGGAGTTCATCAGGCTGGGCCCTAATCCAATATGACTGGTGTCCTCATAAAAAGGCGAAATTAGGGCCCAGAGACAGTCACCCACAGGGAAGATGAAGTGTGGACAAGGGAGGAGACCATCTACAAGCCAAAAAGAGAGGCTTGGAGCAGACCCTCCCCTCACAGCCTCAGAAGGATTTCAGACTTTGGGCCTCCAGAACTGTGAGACGATGTATTTCTGTTGTTTAAGCCACCCAGTCTGTGGCACCTTTTGGCAACCCTAGGAAGCTAATACAGAGCGGGTGTGGCTAACTGCTCTGCTGGCCATCTCATCTGAAAATAGTGTGACAGTTCTTACCCCGTGCAGCTGATGTGAGGACTAGCCGGGGCAACGCCCATGAGTCCTAGCACCCAGCACTTGGTGGCTGTTCCTACCAGGCACACGTCAGGCGATGTTTGCTGGCTGACTACAGGGAACAAGTACCAGGGCAGATGTCAGAGCCATCCGCGAGTCCAGAGACAGTTTGTCAGGAGATATGGGAAGTGTGTTGAAAGGTGGCGGAATGACTTTGTTTCTATAGAAACCTGGGCCCAAGGTGCCCTGGCGTGGGCTACCCATGCTTTTAATTAGCATCCTCCTCCTCAGCTGAGAGGTGGGAAAGGAGATGCCTGAGCCACCTGTACACTCTCTTTGGGGTCTGGGACCCAGGTGCAAAGGAAGGAGGGGAAGTTGGAGCAGTGTCTTAAGTTTTCAAGCTGCATCTGTTTTCCCAGGGCCAATCCTTGAGTCCTCCCATCTCTGGGGACCCCGGAGCCCTTCAGGATCCTAGTCCCCCCAACCCCCAGGGTTTGGCAGAAGCTATGACCTCTGCCCAGCCCTGTTCAGGAACAGCTATTTTGGGCACTGACATGTCACTCCTGGCAAGCTGGGAATCAGTGTGGGGAAGGAAGGGTTCCTTTCCTTCCCAGGCTGCCTGTCCCCAGCCGATGGGACACCTGCCCTTTTTCATGTCTAAAAATACCATTCAAAATAATTCAGGATTGGCGGAGCCAGGATGGCGGCGTGAGTAGAGCAGTGGAAATCTCCTCCCAAAAACACATAGAGCTATGAAAATATAACAAAGAAAAATCTTCCTAAAATAGAGACCACAGGACACAGGACAACATCCAGACCACATCCACACCTGCAAGAACCCAGCGCCTTGTGAAGGGGGTAAGATACAAGCCCCAACCCGGCGGGACCCGAGCGCCCCTCCCCCCGGCTCCCGGCGGGTGGAGAGAAACCGGAGCAGCGAGCGCTTTTCGGAAGCCTTAGAGGGACGGGCCCCCGTTGCTGGGGAGGCAGGGTGGCGGGACCGGTGAGGAGGTGCCTGGGAACGGCGCCGGAGGACAAAGAATATCCCGCGTTTCTCCCTGCGAGACCTGGGGGCGGGTGCCTGAGACCGGTGCCTGAGGACGGAGGAGGTCGCGCGTTTTTCCCCTTTTTTTTTTTTTCTTTTTGGCGAGCGCTTTTTGGAAGCCTTGAAGGGACGGGGACCCCAGTGCTAGGGAGGCACGGTGGCGGGACTGGTGAGCGGGTGGCTGGGACCGGCGCCTGAGGACAAAGAATATCCCCCGTTTTTCCCTGCGGGACCGGTGGGCGGGTGCCTGAGACCGGCACTTGAGGACAGAGGAAATCGCGCGTTTTTCCCCTTTTTTTTTTCTCTTTTCTGCGAGTGCTTTTTGGAAGCCTAAAAGGGACAGGGACCCCGGTGCTAGGGAGGCAGGGCGGCGGGACTGGTGAGCGGGTGCCTGGGACCGGCACCTGAGGACAAAGAATATCCCGCATTTTTCCCTGTGGGACCGGTGGGTGGGTGCCTGAGACCAGCACCTGAGGACGGAAGAAATCGCGCGTTTTTCCCCTTTTTTTTCTCTCTTTTTGCCGAGTGCTTTTTGGAAGCCTTGAAGGGACAGGGACCCCGGTGCTAGGGAGGCAGGGCGGCGGGACTGGTGAGCGGGTGCCTGGGACCGGCACCTGAGGACAAAGAATATCCCGCATTTTTCCCTGTGGGACCGGTGGGTGGGTGCCTGAGACCAGCACCTGAGGACGGAAGAAATCGCGCGTTTTTCCCCTTTTTTTTCTCTCTTTTTGCCAAGTGCTTTTTGGAAGCCTTGAAGGGACAGGGACCCCGGTGCTAGGGAGGCAGGGCGGCGGGACTGGTGAGCGGGTGCGTGGGACCAGTGCCTGAGGACAAAGAATATTGAGCGTTCCTTCCCTGCGGGACCGGTGGGTGGGTGCTTTTTGGAAGCCTTGAAAGGACAGGGACCCTGGTGCTAGGGAGACAGGGCAGCAGGACCAGTGAGCGGGTGCCTGGGACCGGCACCTGAGGACAAAAAAAAAAAAAAAATCGCTTGTTTTTTCCTTTTTTTTCCTTTTTTTTTTCTCTTTCTTTCTGTTCCCTCTCTCATTGTTGCTGCTGTTGTTTTGGTTTGGAGAGTGCTTTTTGGAAATCTTAAAGGGGCAGGACAGGTCACTTAGACCAGAAGCAGGGAATCTGGGGATCTCTGGGCACTCTAACCCCCTGGGCAGCAGGGAGCACAGAGGCCCCTTACGGAGATAAATAGTCTCCTGGCTGCTCCCCCTCCAACGGGGCTCCACCATTTTGGAGGAACAGCCCCAGCCAGGCCAAGCCCACAGCAACAGCGGAGATAAACCCCAAAGCAACTGGGCAGGAAGCAGAAGCCCTGTCTGCGCACAGCTGCCCAGCACAAGCCACTAGAGGTCGCTATTCTCCCAGGAAAAGGCTACAAACCAACAAGAAGGGAAGCTCTTCCAGCGGTCACTTGTACCAGCTCTGCAAACTATCTCTATCACCATGAAAAGGCAAAACTACAGGCAGACAAAGATCACAGAGACAACACCTGAGAAGGAGACAGACCTAACTAGTCCTCCTGAAAAAGAATTCAAAATAAAAATCATGAACATGCTGACAGAGATGCAGAAAAAAATGCAAGAGCAATGGGATGAGATGCAGAGAAAAATGCAAGAGCAGTGGGATGAGATGCAGAGAAAAATGCAAGAGCAGTGGGATGAAGTCCGGAAGGAGATCACAGATGTCAGGAAAGAGATCACAGAAGTGAAACAATCCCTGGAAGGATTTATAAGCAGAATGGATAAGATGCAAGAGGCCATTGAAGGAATAGAAGCCAGAGAACAGGAACGTATAGAAGCTGACATAGAGAGAGATAAAAGGATCTCCAGGAATGAAACAACACTAAGAGAAATATGTGACCAATACAAAAGGAAAAACATTCGTATTATAGGGATACCAGAAGAGGAAGAAAGAGGAAAAGGGATAGAAAGTGTCTTTGAAGAAATAATTGCTGAAAACTTCCCCAAACTGGGGGAGGAAATAATCGAACAGACCATGGAATTATACAGAACCCCCAACAGAAAGGATCCAAGGAGGACAACACCAAGACACATAATAATTAAAATGGCAAGGATCAAGGACAAGGAAAGAGTTTTAAAGGCAGCTAGAGAGAAAAAGGTCACCTATAAAGGAAAACCAATCAGGCTAACATCAGACTTCTCAACAGAAACCCTACAGGCCAGAAGAGAATGGCATGATATACTTAATGCAATGAAACAGAAGGGCCTTGAACCAAGGATACTGTATCCAGCACGACTATCATTTAAATATGATGGTGGGATCAAACAATTCCCAGACAAGCAAAAGCTGAGGGAATTTGCTTCCCACAAACCACCTCTACAGGGCATCCTACAGGGACTGCTCTAGATGGGAGCACCCCTAAAAAGAGCACAGAACAAAACACACAACATATGAAGAATGGAGGAGGAGGAATAAGAAGGGAGAGAAGAAAAGACTCTCCAGACAGTGTATATAACAGCTC